GCTCAATTTATAAATCACTTTTAGGTCATCAAAAGGAGTCAAAAATGACTCAGTTTACTGATTAATTATCCAACAATCTTCCAAATGCTAGCTGGGTTTAACTCTGTATATGTATATCTTAGTATCTGTGTGTTATTTAACTCTGTATGTATTTACATATGTATGTATGTATCAGTGATGCCAGGAGATTTTTTTCAGAAATCCCTACGCTTATGAGAAAAAATCCCTTTTTTCCCTACACCCACTTTTTATTTTCCCTACATTTTTCCCTACACTACTTTTTTCCATTTTTTTCAAAGTTTATCTTAAAAAAATACAAAAATAACATCAAAAACTAAAATATTAGCTCCGTTTTATAATATACATATATGTATGTATTTTTTTTTAATTTTTAGGAATGAAATTTCTAGAATTTAAATTTTAAATTTCTTTCAATTTTACATCATACAAATCTTCCAACCCTGACTCTTCAGTTAAGATTAAAAAAAAAACAATTGAAAGATTTATGGCAGTATATCGAATCGTGATAAAAATTTATTTTATGTGCCTCCAACAAAAAAATTTTCATAAAATAATTATTTTAAATAAGGTTTACTTTTGCGTTTACTTTTTGCGGTTTACTTTTATAAATTTTCAGAACATTAAATTCATGTTTTACAATCCTGAGTTACTGCATTAAGCCCCCGACTACTCTATCTATAAGGAGTCAGAATATATCGCCCTACAGGATTGGCATAATCCAAAAAGTCGTTTCAAGAAAATATGAATATTTAATGACATTTAACTATTTTTTTAATAACTTTTAAACAAATCAAGGGGTTTTAAAAATCCAGATTCAGATAGTTGAGGTTAATATGTTTCTCATCTAAATTGAAATTAAATTTTTAGTTGTCTAATATTCACAAAAACGTGGGTTTTAGTTTTTAGGTTTACAAAAAATCGATTTCACATCGAAAATAATAGACATATTTGAAATTTCATAAATCTATATGAAATATTTTAGTATGTCGCATGTTTTGAAGACCTTAGTTCAAGAAAGCCGAATTTTGGATTATGCCAGTCTTGTAGCGATATGTAGGTACATATATTGTAGAAATTACAAGCGGAATTTTTACTAACGATACACTTAAAACTGATTTCATTTTTAATTTAAAAGTTTAATATATGAAAGAGTATATTTTTAGTTGTTAAAAACTATGAAATTGAAAAATCCCTACAATTTGACAATAGTAAGAAATCTTTCCCTTTTTCCCTACACGTGAAATTTTTGAAAAAAATCCCTACAAAAAGGGAAAAATCCCTACACTTGGCATCACTGGTATGTATATCCAAGTATCTGTGTGTGCTCATTTCATGTAAATGCATATAAAACAAAAAAAATATTTTGCTTAATGACTTGACAATAATGTGATTTGTGAAACACCTTCATTTAATTTTTTGTTTTAATTTTTCTATAGATTGCATAATTTTGCTTTAGATTTTAATGCTATAAAAAGAATATATGTATGTCAGTATATTTATTTTAAAAATAGTTATTATAGTAGATAAAATTAAACAAAATCAATTATAGACTAAAGTTTATTATTTTCACTATAAATTAGATTTCAGTTTAGTTGTGGAAATATCAAGGTTTTTTCGTTTTATTTGTAAGGACCCAAAATGTTGCGATTTTGAACCCCACAATTTCTTTTATTGTAGTTTTTGAAATAAATACATAAAATGTCTATTTGATCAGTGTTTGACTTGGTGGGCAATGGATTACATCCATCAAAGGGGGGCGGATTACATCCGCCAATGTGTGTTTGTTTCTTTTCAGATAGAACGATCAATTCAGCCCAACAGAGTAACAGAACAGTGACATAGAGAGAAGGATTCAGCCAAAGAGAATTCAGCCAGAGAGAAAGAGAAGGATATTCAGCCAGAGAGAAGAAAGATATTCAGCAAGAGATGAATTCAGCAAGAGAGAAGAAATATATTCCGCAAGAGGGAACAAGAGGATATCCAACCTGAGAGAGTGAGAGGACAGTCAGATGGGGAGAATAAGCTGTAAAACCGTTAACGGTTCAAACCTATGAGAGGAGCATCACTACAAAACTACAGGAGTTGTAGTTACTGAGGACTATAAAAGAGGATGTAAACGAACAATCAGTCTCTTTTGCGGTGTAACAGGTGAACAGCTAAGACGTGTGTGTCGGTAAGAAAACTACAGTGGGCAGTGCTAGGTTAGCAAGAAACACAGTAAGGCTAAGATTAGGTCTCTGGTTTACAATCAGTGGACAAACAAAAACCTTTAACGGATTTACATCTGCTAGAGGAAGATTAGGGCAGAGGTGATAGACATTTTCCTGGAAGTTTACACTCGGGAAAATTAGGGTCAAGAGAGAACTCTAGAATTACATTCTAGAAGAAAAACCGTAGGCAAGCACTGGCTCAGGGCAAAAGCGATAGAAATCTTCCTGGAAGTTTACACTCGGAAGAGTTAGGAACAAGAGATAATCTCTAGAATTTACATTCTAGATATTCCCAAAGGTAGGAGTTAGAGGGCAGGATTGGAGGGACACCGACACGCGTCACACGTTCACAACCCGGCCAGCGAGACAAGTTCGTGTTAAGTGATATAAGTATTAAAAATATTTGCAAAGAAAAAAAACAAATATATATAAGCATAAAAGTAATAAAGCTCGAGAGAAAAAAAAAGAACATTTGAAAGCGTGTATTAAAATTTTATGTAAAGGAATCCTGGACTAGACTGAGCACTACCCCAGCTTCAAACCCGGAATAACCGGAGGTTCCTTACATTGGCGCCCGAGCAGGGACCCTTTTGATCAACACACAAAAAGGTAATAAAAGAAGAGACAAGAAATCATGGTGCGTACGTCCTGGGCATATACCCTACGAAAGGATGAATTGGTGCAATATCTGGAAGAATTCGATCTAGATGCCAGTGGTACCGTAGAAGAAATGAGGAAGAGGTTTGCCACATTTATATCCGGTGAACACAAGGAAAAGGTCCTCACCAATAATGGAAATATTTTATCACAAATTAAAGTATATGTACAGATAATATTTAAACTTGGTACCCTTGTTCATTAGCATTTTAACTCACTATTTTAACATGGCAATGACATTGGAGGCAAGTACTTACTATGCTCGCTTACAAATAACTACTTCAATAAGTACTTACTACAGATGAGTGATATTTTCACGACTGTGATTTAATCACTGTGATTGATAATTCACTGGTAGCTACTGTGACTGAAATGATCAAATAACAAATCACGTTCACTAAGAACGACGTTCTTTAGAAATCACTGGATCGCTCATCTCTAGTACTTACCAATGGGAAATTAAAAATTGTAAAAAAATGCTCACATAGACTACGCACCTGGTCCTCTTGTTCGTTAGTTCGCTGTCGTACTCACAACACCATTACTTAGTAGTATAAGTCATTAAATAGCCAGTTAAGAGCTTTAAAAATATTTTAAGAAGAGAAACTTATATGGGTGGTACCTCAATTATAAACAAATCCTTATCAAATTTGCTAGAGACATTTTTGATCTGCTATTATTAGCCTATTATGAGCCTTAAAGTAATTTTCTGAAGAGAATCTTATATGAGGGTAGGATTAATTATATTAGATTATATATTATAGACTAATCAATAGAATAATCCATAGATCAGTCAATAAGTTTCTAGAATATTAAATGGACTAGTCCATCGATTTACCTCTAGAATATTTCAAAGACTACTCCATAGACCAGTTCATATATTAACCTATAGACAAGTCAAAATAATAGTTCCTAGAGTGAGAGTTTATAAACTGTTTAATAGACTAGGCAATAGACATATGACCAAGTCCATAGATAACATCGATTAGACAATATACTAGAAAATGAAAAGACTACTCCATAGACTATTGAATAGATTGGACCATATACCATTCAATTGATTGGACACCTGTTCTATAGAAAATATTTTTAAGTGTGAATGTATAGCCGGTCGTGGTCGACCATATGATACCCTACACCAGTGAGTATGTTAAAAATGTAAATTGTTTCTTAAATGTTGGAAAAAAAAAAGAGATTTTCATAATAGGGCTTATGTATATGGGGGTTTAGAGGAATTGAAATAATTGAAATGAATTTTGAAGTAATTTTTTGAAGGGGAGTTTGTATCGGGGGTAGGGTCAAATCAGGCCCGTTCATTACGAAAATCGGCAGTGTCTACAAGACACTTTTATAAGGGACTTTTATAAAACTTAGTTTTATAAAAGTCTAAATTACAACCGGTTATATGGAACTCTAGGCGAAATAATGCACCAATTTTAACCATTTTCAATAGGCTTCCTTGGGTCAAAAGAAGAGTATGTGCCAAATTTAATCATATTATCTAAAAAATTGCCAGCTGTAGCGTACGCAAAAGCTTTACATGGAAACACTTACAGACGGACGGACAGACAGACGAATGAACGTATGGACGGACAGACATAGCTAAATCAAAAGTGATTCTGAGCCGATTCGTATACTTTAAGGTGGGTGTAGGACCAATATTTTTGAGTTTACAAACATAAGCATAAACTCATTATACCCTTCCCACAATAGTGGTGTAGGGTATAATTATAATGTTTTTTAGTTTTTTCTTTCATTTATGTTAAAATTTTACCAATACGTGGAAGTTATGATAAATAAGTTGAACTATTCTATCAATTAAAGAAAAATGTCGTCTTTATTGATATTCTATTTAAGAAAATCCTCAAAATTCGAAATACTTTTTGAACAGAGTAGAATATGTTTAACGAATGCCGGAAATTTCTCGCAATCAACATTTTATTAGATACATATTTTCCTTTTAAATACTAAAAAAAATTAAATTTTACTTAAAAATTAAAGCTAAAACAACTACTAAATCAAATAAAAGAAAAAAGTTAAACATATTACCAAAATCCACTTTAAAGCAAAAAAGAACTTAAAAGTAAATTATCAAGAAAAAACAACACATTTCTGAAAAAAAAAAACAAAAAACTTTAATTAAAACATTTAACAAGAAATTGAAAATTAATTAACAACAACTAAAGAAAAAACAACACAACTGAAAATTGAATACAAAAAGCAAAACGCAGGCGTAATAATACAAAACAATTAAACGGAAATAAATAATAAAAAAGGACTTCTAAGGATAAAATTAAAACTCCAACACAACACTTGATATTGATAGCAGCAACACTACAGAACTAAAAATAATAAATAATATTTTATTTCTATTTTTACAATAACAAAATAAACTAAATCAAAAGAACAAACCACGAAAGTAACCAATTAACGTATAACAACAACAACAATAACAATTAAAAATTAATTAATTATTCTTTTGTTGAGCCAGAAAAGTTTTATGAGTAATAGCGCCATGGTTGCCGTAGCTATTTGTTGTATTCTCGTGCTTCTAGCCGTATTCATTGTCATCATCATAGTTGTGGGCCAAACAATGGGTGAACCAAAGTGAGATAAACTTCAGCTGGGACCCGGTAATTTCCCAGATGGATAACAAAGGCCTACCAATTGTTAGTACATCCTCAAAACCCCTACCCAAGAATAAGAATTAAATTGAACATTTTCCTTAGAAACAAATGAAAAAAAACGTGCAACCAACCAACCAGTGACTAGTTATTCCATATGACATAAATCTGGCAAAAACAATTTAAACATTTTAGTAAACAAGTGAATTTAAAACAAGAAAAACAAACATCATTTTTACAACAACCACAAGAAAAAAAATATAAAATAATTTTTAACCCATCGTGTCAGTATCAAATTGGCTGTGATGTGTAATTTTTTTATTAAAACAGCAAAAATACATTTTTTAATTATTATTAACAAATAAAGAAAAGATTTAGTGAAAACAAAAACGACATGAGTTCAAAATTTTTGTAGACATTTTAGTAAAATCAAGAAAAAACCAAAGAAAAAAATTTTATTTTATTTTGATAAAAAGTGTTAAAAAAAATCAAGTTTTATAAATGTATTGAAATAGTTAATAAGTGTTAATAGTTAATTAATGTTTAAATTTATGAAAAAAATGTAAAATAATTACAACTACCAAAATAATACTCCAAATAAATGTTGCCGTAAACATGATGCTGGCAGTTAGCAACATTTTGTAAGCAAACTTACAGAACTCAGTGAAAGTAAGAAATAGCAACATTTAATTATACTTTAGGTTAGGTTAGGTTAGGTTGATAGGAGGATGTATACTACATCAAATCCGAAGAAATACACCTAGGCCACTATCGGGCCTGTTGTGCGCTCCAATTCAAGAAAAAAAAAAAAAAAAAAAAAAAAAAAAAAAATTGTTTACTGAATGTTCAGAAACTCAGTTTCCTGGACGTAATTCCTAAGAATCTTCCAATCGGTGTTGGTTAAGAATGTTATTTCCGGAATAACATCACTTCCAAGATACTTGGATCTAACTTCGACGAATGCCTGACAATGGCAAAGAAAGTGCTCCAGAGTTTCACTGTCCTCTCCACATGCTCTACATTCGTCTGAATTCGCACGTCCAATTTTGTATAGATGTGCTCGTAATCCTGTGTGTCCACTGAGAATACGTACCATCATACTAACCTCAGACTTGCTCATTTTGAGAAGATTTCTCGTCTTGCTCTCATCAGGGTCACCCCATAGAATCTTTGTGGTTCTACCCACCGTTTCATTATTCCAAGAGGCCTTATGGGATTCTCTCATCCATATTTTTAATTCAGCTTTTGTTGCGTCGAATGGTTTTGCGTTTGTCAGGTTAACTACATCGAGCTCCCTTCCCTTTAAAGCTATTACATTCGCCCTTTCGTTGCCGATTACTCCCGAGTGGCCTGGTACCCATATGATGTGAACCTTACCTCTGGGAGAGTATTCAGTTAAAGCTTTCTTACAATCCAATACGGTCTTAGATTTAATTCTATCACCTGATATCGCACAAATTGCCTTCTGGCTGTCGGTAAATATATTAAGCCCTGTGGGCGCCATATTTATTCTAATCCAATTTACACATTCCGTTATTGCTCGTACTTCTGCCTGGAAGCTTGTGTTATGATTAGGTAAACGGTGGTATATTTCTGTTTCTGGGTCTTCAATATAGAACCCCAGACCCACTTTGTCCCCTAATTTAGAGCCATCCGTGTAGCAACGGATTCCTACTGGTATTTGCTCTAATGTTCCGCTTGACCAAGACATTCTATCTGGGATTAGCGTTTCAAAGTTTCCGACATATTCAGTGTCTGGTATGCGATCAGGCACGTCCGATGAATGTGTATAACCTTCCAATGTGTCCAGTATACATTGATGACGTGTCCTATAACCGTTTTTGGCCAGTTCGCCTAAAGTAAAGAGCCGTTCGGCTGTAAGCGCCGCCTCATATCTTATATATGTTTCAATGGGTGGAATATCTAGCAACGTTTCCAGAGCCTTGGTTGAAGTAGTACACATGGCACCACTTATACCCAAGCAGCATGTACGCTGAACTCCTTGTAGTAGTTTGATATTACACTTTTTGTCCAAAGCAGTCCACCAGATTATTGAAGCATAAGCTAGAATTGGTCTAATTACACTTTTATAAAGCCAATTTGTCATAGTAGGACTAAGACCCCATTTTATGCCTATGGTTCTCCTACATATCGCCCAGCACCGATGTGCCTTGTTGATCCTATCCTTTATGTGGTGTCTCCATTTTAATTTCCGGTCAAGTATTACACCTAAGTACTTAACTTTGTCTGTCACCGGTATCTTCTTGCCCAAGAAGCAAGGTTCAGTATATGTAGAAATTTTTGTCTTTCTTGTGAAAAGACAGATTTCCGTCTTCGCCGGGTTAACATTGAGGCCTCTCGGTTGAGCCCAGCTCAAGGCCGTATTCAGAGCCTCCTCAGCTCTTCTACACAAGTAATTTGGATCCTTTCCCTTTAAAAGTATTACGACATCGTCTGCATAGCAGACAGGTCTAAGTCCTTTCTCGGTTAGGGTCCTTAGGAGGCTATTAATCGTGGTAACCCAGAGTAAAGGTGACAAAATGCCACCCTGTGGTATACCGCGAAATACCTTTTTCCTGATAGTTATATCGTACATCTCGCAGCTTATCCATCTGTTCCTTAGCATGTAGTTGATCCAGTTACGGAGCACCCGGTCAACATAAAACTGGTCTAGGGATTGGATAAGGGTATCAGTGTGCACGTTATTGAAAGCGCCTTCGATGTCAATGCATACTGCCAGTGTATACAGTTTGCTATCGAAAGATTCACCTATGTAGTGGACAACTTCATTTAAAGCGGTTTCCACCGATCGTCCCTTTACATAAGCATGCTGCTTATATTTAAGGTCATTGTATGGTATGCTGCTTTTAACCATGCTATCGACTATCCGTTCCAAGGTTTTAAGTAGGAAGGACGTAAGACTTATCGGTCGATAGGACTTAGGTGTCGCATAGCTAGGTTTCCCTGGTTTGGGTATAAATATTACCCTTGCATCCTGCCATTTAACTGGGGTATATGCCAATTTTAAGCATGCAGTGAATATCTGTGACAGATGTACGGAAACCAGTCCCGCCTCCATCTGCAAAAGTGCCGGGAAAATTCCATCCGGCCCTGCAGCTTTATAGGGAGCAAAGCTCTTGATTGCCCCTTTCACCATGTCAGTTGTAATTACTATTTCCGTGTTACCCTCCCCTTCCTCCAATATCGGTTCATCTATGTTATTCGATATACCGGGTGGGAAATGAGAATCCATTAGGAGTTTCATTGTCTCCTCCATATCCTCAAGCCTCCTGCCCGTGTCATCGATCATAGATTCCGGTTGGACATGAGTTTTGGATAGGAATTTTTTTATCTTCGATACGTCATTTACGCTATCTACCTGTTCACAGAAAAGTTTCCAGGAGTCTCGTTTGGCTTTTCGAACGATTTTCTTATATTCACCAAGTTTATTACGATACTCATCCCAGTATACTGCGGTCTTTTTACGCCGTGCCCGGTTAAATAGTTTGCGAAGAGTCTTCCCAAGGTTCCGGATCTCCCCAGTTACCCAGGGTTTTTCCTGGGCAGATCTCCGCTCTCGCAGAGGGCAGCTGTCCTCGAACGATTCAACCAGGGCACTTGTGAACGTTTCCACTTTGGCATCTATATCCTCTTTATTTCGACATTGAAAAGTGTCCTGACCTAAACGGTTCTTTAGTAAGGTCCCGAACATTGTCCAATTAGTTTTAGACTTATTCCGAAACTTTATCGGCTTTGGTGGTGGCCTTAGTATTTTGAATCTTATGTACCGATGATCAGAAAAGGAGTGCTCGTCCGAAACTCTCCAATCCTGAATTTCGTTTATAAGCTCTTCTGAACATATAGTTATATCTAATACTTCTTCTCTGATTCTATTGACGAAGGTAGCTTTATTACCTAAGTTCAATGTTATCAAGTCTTTAGTATTAAAGAAATCCATGAGGGCTTGTCCCCTGCGATTGGTGTTTGTACTACCCCAAGCTACATGATGCGAGTTGGCATCACAACCTATTACAATTTTCTTATTTTTCCTTTGTGCCTCTTCAACCAGTTTCATCAGATCCGACGTTGGTGGTAGTGTCGGAGAATCGAAAGGCAGGTAAATAGATGCAAGGAATATGTTGCCACGACCTTGCTTCAGCACCGTTGCATCCGATGTTGATAATCCTGTTGAGAGGAGAAAACATAAGTTCTTGTGACATAAGATACATGTTCTCGGGCGAGATCCTGTATCAGCGTAGAAAAGTTGGAAATTTACGTGATTTAATCCAGAAACCTTGTTGCGAATCGTCCAAGGTTCCTGGATTAAAGCTATATGTATTTTACCTGTGTTGATTTTAGCCATCAGAGCGTTGGTAGCTGTCTCGCTCCGATGGAGGTTTATTTGGATAACCTCAATCATGGTCATCCATTAAACTGTCTTCCAGCGAGTTGGTGGTCACCTCCTCGCTCTTTGGATTTGACTCCTCCGGATAGCCTGAAGTGGCTATTAATGCAGTGAGTACTGTTGATGGCACTGCGGTGTCCTTATCAGGCATAGGAATAGCAATATTTTTAATAGACACATTCCCAATTCTGGAGAGCATTGCTGTTCTGTCTTCTGGCGGGTGAGTGATTTCCTCCTCGCTTTTAGGATTTGACTCCTCAACATTGCTAGTACTTGCTAATGATGCTTTGGGTACTGTCTTAGGTGTTTTAGTGTCCTTGTCGGGGCCGGTTTTGACAGCCCTTTCAATCGGCGCCTTCCCAATTTTGGAAAGGGCAACTACACTTTCTTCTGGCGAGTTAATGGTAAATTCCTCGATTTTAGGATTTAACTCCTCAACGTTATCAGTAGTGGATACTGATGCTGTGGTCTTAGGTTTTTTAGTATCCTTTTCGAGGCTTGTTGTAACAGCCCTTCCAATCGGCACCTTCCCAATTTTGAATATGACAGATTTAGAGGCGAAGTAAGCTCTACCTTTATTCTTGGCAAGACTAGCCATGGATTTCTGGTCGATACCTATTACAAATAAAGTTCCCTCAGGTTCTTCTTTCCTGTAAAAGACATCCCATTTTTCCACGGCCAGCTCAGCATTTTGACCTCCAAGAATTTCCAGTATACGTTCATTAGCCAGTTTACTGCCCCATCCTTTTATGTAGACAGTGGACTTTAGGAGCACCGGAAGCTCGCTCTTCTTTGCCAGTCCCAGCCTAGCGCCGTCCCAGGGAGGAGGGATACTTTCCACCAAGTTCTTTAGGGTGCTAACACATTGGTGAGATGCCAACCTCATCAACATCACGCCCATGCTGAACTCGCAGCTCTCGCTCTCTATTGGTTGTTTGCCCTTCGAAGCGATTGCATGGTCCACTATCTTATTGTTGACCAGGTCTTCTATTTTACTCTGTTGGTCTATTGGAATTTTGCCTGTCGGATTACCGGCATCGTAAACTGCATAGCAGAGATCGTCCCGGTGCCTACTTCTGGCAACTGTGGCGTAAGATGGCGGCTCTTTTCCTTTTCCTCCGTCTAGCTTCTCCTTCCTCGTTTTTCGGGGCTTCTTTTGAGATTCCCTTACCTTCGAGGTTGATTTCGCCGACGTGTTCGTCTTCGGAATATCTGGCTTGGCGTTGTCACCCTTACTCGCAGGATTCTCAATTGAGATTCCTTTGAGTGAAGTATGGCTTGGCTTCGACTGTGTATTAGAAGACGGGGAGCTCTTTTTCTTCTTAGGTTTATTCTCAGTTGTCAACTCATCGGGAGACCTGATCCTTTTTGCCTCAGATCTTGTGAGAGAGTTCGATTTTTCCTTTGGAGTGTCGTGGGATTGACTAACTATGATTTCCTGAAGCATCTTTTTCAACTTCCTCCTCTGTGCTCCAGAAAGTCTTTTCTTAGTAATAGGTAGTTTAGCTATGCTATCACTCACCTCTTTCACCATTTGCTCTACTTCATCCTTTTTGGGATTTGCTATAATGGTATTATTTTTATTATCATCTGAGGATTCAGAGTCGGAACCCTCACCTATATTTAAAGGCTGAGGTAGCTTAGAGCTCTCTCCGAGTACATCCTTCTCTTTCACCCCTATATTTTTGCCAGCGGCATGCTGTACACTTGACGCATTGTCCGCCACGGAGGCCAAGGTACCCACCTCCGTAGTAGTATTCTGCTCACGATTGCAGGATGACGACGACACGTGACTCGCGAGTAGATCAACACTTGCCGCCGGTACTGGGTTATTTAGGCCCTGCACCGTAACTTTTATCTTTTTATTTTTATTTTCCATATTTGTTTTTTTTTTTTTTTTTTTCCAGTTTTTTGGTCCGCGGGGAATATAATATTCCCAGGTGGTGGACAATCTGCCCTCCCTCAGCTTAAGTGAAATTAAAGCTGGGAGAGGACAGATGGTCCATCACCACCCCCTATCCGCCACCCGGGGACGCGCTCGGTAGGAAAAATCTGGAAAACTCCCCCGAGTAATTATACTTTAAAAGTCTTATAAAAATCATAAATACAATAACCATTAAACACCAACATAAAACTTATTCAAAAACTGTTATAAACATGTTGCTAACAACAAAAAATATGATTCAAAACTTTTCATAAGCTCTCTTTAACATAAATAAAAAAAATCCATAATGAAATTTTTTTTTAAACAGTTTTCATTCTAACTGTTTGAAACAAATGTATAAACATGTTGCTGGTAATTGTAATTTCAAAACTTCTATAAACTGAACTCTAACTAACTAAAAACTACCTTAAACCCGTTAAAAACTTCAGCTGCTTTGAAATATTAGTTTTTGTCAACATGAAAACATCAAGAAAACATGGATCACACTCGACTTCAATTGACAACATCTAAAACCCGCACAAAACTTCTTAAAATTAGTTGTAAATATGTTTAGATTTCAAACTAAATTTAACTCAACTTTAAACGGTGTTTATTATAAAGTTTAGAACATTGTGTAACTGTCAACATGTTGTCAGTAGGAACAAATATATCAAAAAAACCTTAAAAATCTTTTATTTTAAAAATTTCTCTGGCAACAAAATATTAACATTTAAAATATATAAATTAACAAAAACGCATCCCAAATTCAAATTAAACTCATATCAGTTGAATAACAACAAAGTTGCCAAAAATATGTTGCGGAATAAAAACATTAAACAACATTTTAAACTAAAGAAATTTCTCCATTAACCATAAAACTTACAATACTTGAAGCATTAGGCAGCAGAACTGTTATCTACATGTTGCTAAACATACCAAAAATTTAAAACCACAAATTTATTATCAAAACACCTTAATAAAATTGATAAATATCTACAGAGATCCAGCAGAATTTAAAATAAATAAACCATTACAGCATAAAACTAACGAAATGAGCAAAATCTTCCACTAGATTTCGAAATTAAATGTATATAAAATCCAGCAACATTTATTTTATAAACAAACTTAAATTCTCAACAAAATGCATTTACAACATCAAGTAAATTTGTATATATTTCAAATACTTTGCGGCTGTAAACATGTGGCAAATATTAAGCAACACTTCAAGCAATTAAACAAGATTTAAACAACACTTCCTCAAAGAAGCAGATCCTCAAAGAAACATTTTAAAGTATATGAGTTTATTTTCGGCAATATGTTGAAGAGAGAAATAAGAAAAGAATTAAACAAAGTCTAGCAACGTGTTTGCAACATATAAAAAACAACAAATACGCATTTAAGTGTATTTTAAACCTGTTTCGAAGTAGATTAACATGTAAGCAACATTAATTAAAACGTCAGAAACATCTCAGCCACATTAAACCATCATTCAGGCTTTATTCAAGGAAAGTATTGTCATGGCTAAAAAAAAACTACAACCAAATTGATTAAACATGTTGCAGAGCTCAAAATTATAAACAATTCTGAAAATTTATTGAGTAAAATGTTGAAACAAATTTAAATGTTGCTAAAGAAACGTTCGTAGAAAACGTTGTTCATATTCTAAGTAAAGAAACATTTAGTATCAATAAATAAAAGAAGTATTTAAAGTATTTACTATACTTTCAAAGGCCAGCAACATGTTTAACACATCTTAAAGAGTACAATAACAGTTTGAGTGAATTCCAGTTTGAGACAACATTCATCAAAAAGCCAGAAACATCTCATCAACATTTAACAACATGACAGTGGAAAATCAGTACTACAAATGTAATTTATAAAATTTTAAAAATCATTGAACAAGGAAATTTTTGGAAAATGTTGCTGTGACTGAAACATATAAAACAAAACATTTCAGAATATTGCCGATCAAATAGAGTATTATGGTCCAACTAAAGAAAGTCTAAGGAAAGGAAGTCATTAAACATGTTTCAAATAAACATGTTGCAAAATAGTACTTAAAATAAAATAAAAAGATTTTCTACTTCAATACACTTCATAGATGTTGCGGAAAAAAACCGTGCATTAATAATGGAAAAGAACTTAATAAAAATGCAAGAAAACATTTCAACAATATGTTGCCAAGAAAACTAAAACCTAAAAGTTTCAACAAGATACAATTTTTATCTATAGCAGATTTACAATATATTATGTGTTGTAACAACATGTTGCTATATAGTAGTACTCTATAAATTTCAGATGGAAAAATGTTACTTCATCATGTTGTCAAAAAGATTTCAGAGCATATCTCCATAATCATTTGTAACTAGAAAAATGTTATAAATATTCACAATGAAAATCCACGAAGGAAAGACAACTCATTTTATCGCCAGAAAATGTTTTATCAACATATGAGAAAGCAAAGGCAATTACTATAAAGTTCCAACAGCAGGACATTTTGCCAAAAAAAAAAGCAGATGACCTCAAAATAAACAATGTATTTACTATATAGACAACAGATAATTCCAACCGTTATACAAGAAAAAATTTCATCAATATGTTGCCAAGAAAACCACAACCTAAAAAGTCTCAACCAGATAAAATATTATCTATGGAATATTTTGAATACGTTAAATGTTGAAACAACATGTTGCTAAATTTAAATACATCATACATCGGTATAAAGTTGCTTCAATATGTTGTCGAGAAAACTAAAACAAAACATCTCAATAATTATATTGTGACTAGAAAAACTGGAGAACTAAATTTACAACAACTTAAACGTTATTAAAAACATGTTGCTACATTGAAACTCTACGCTTATGACAAACAAAATCTTTTCAAACATTGTTGCAACAACAAAAGGCAAAAAAAAAACAATATAAAATATATTCATAAGGCAAAAAACAATATAGAATATATTTAGTTCAACCCCTTTTAAAAAACGTATTCATTAATATACTACAATAAGCCTGTAAAAAATTCTCTATAAATAAAATGTTTCTAAATAATGTTGCAACAATATAAAACTGAAAACAATTTCATTTAAAATTTCACATTTAAATTTAAAAAAAAAATAACAAAACATAATTAATAAACTAAATAAAATAATAAAAAAATATTCTAAAATAATTAAAAAACTTCCTATGAAGACTGTTAAAATCACCTAATCTTGTAATAATAAAAAAATTAAAATAAAAAATACTCAATGAAAATATGAAATTTCAAATCATATCATAATTAAATTATAAAAAATAATCAAATTTTCGAGCAATATTTGTTTAACAAAACAAAATAAAGAAAACGTTTTCTTTCTCCCCCAAAACACTTGTTAAATAAAGCAAAATAACAATAAATAAACACCAACAAGGTTAATAACAATTCCAACAAAAAACTAAATAATTTACAGAAAGTTTTCATAATTTAAATTCAATAAAAAAAATACCAAATAATTTTGTATATTTATAAAACAAATTTTTTTATATATAACTTAAAACAACAAAAAAAAAATACAATAAAAGAGAAAAACATACAATCCTTTTAAATAAAAATATTTTACTTACAAAAACCCCTTTCAAATATAAACTACAGTTTTAATAACAAGTTTACAAAAGGAAACAAATGATTATGGAAAAATACAAAGTTTTAACCTTTTAACAAATAATGTGTTACAAATAGTTTTTATAAAAATTAAAAAAAAAAACATATATATAAATATATAACAAAATATCTAAACAACAATTATAAATGTATTATATAATTAATTATGTTTAAATGTGTTTAATAACAATAACTTTAAATTACCTAATGAAATATCAACAAACAGCAGCTATTTTATAAAATGCTCTGTAACTGCTCATTAAAAAAATGTGTATTTTCAATTTCAAAACTTCATTAAACTAAAACAAAACAACTGAAATAAATGTAAAAGTTTTTATTTTAAAATTTAATTCAAATAATATTTGTTAAAAACCTTATTTTTTCCAAAAATTTTATGGGAAAAGAAACCTTGAAATATGTACAATAATTAAATGTTTAAAGTTTATGGCAAAACGTAAGTGTTCTATTAAGACAAAAGAATTAAAAATTTCTCTATGAAATACACAATTTTGTATCAAATATTAAAAAATCATCTAAGTTATGGGAATTAAATTTTTACAACAAAAAAGGTAAGAAAATGGGACAATGTCAATAAATTTTAAATATTATAATTTTATAACACTAACTAGCTTATCTTAGGTGCTTCGAGACTACACTATAGACTAGACCATAGACCAGACTATAGACTAGACTATAGACCAGACTATAGACTAGACTAGACTATAGACTAGACTATAGACTATACTATAGACTAGACTATAGACTATACTATAGACTATACTATAGACTAAACTATAGACTAGACTATAGACTAAACTATAGATTAGACTATAGACTAGACTATAGACTAGACTATAGACCAGACTATAGACTATACTATAGACTATACTATAGACTAAACTATAGACTAGACTATAGACTAAACTATAGATTAGACTATAGACTAGACTATAGACTAGACTATAGACTAGACTATAGACCAGACTATAGACTAGACTATAGACTGGACTATAGACTAGACTATAGACTATACTATAGACTATACTATAGACTAAACTATAGACTAGACTATAGACTAAACTATAGATTAGACTATAGACTAGACTATAGACTAGACTATAGACTAGACTATAGACCAGACTATAGACTAGACTATAGACTGGACTATAGACTAGACTATAGACTAGACTATAGACTAGACTATAGACTAGACTATAGACTAGACTATAGACTAGACTATAGACTAGACTATAGACTAGACTATAGACTAGACTATAGACTAGACTTAGACTAGACTATAGACTAGACTATAGACTAGACTATAGACTAGACTATAGACTAGACTATAGACTAGACTATAGACTAGACTATAGACTAGACTAGACTAGACTATAGACTAGACTATAACTAGACTATAGACTAGACTATAGACTAGACTATAGACTAGACTATAGACTAGACTATAGACTAGACTATAGACTAGATTATAGACTACTATAGACTATACTAGACTAGACTATAGACTAGACTATAGACTAGACTATAGACTAGACTATAGACTAGATTATAGACTAGACTATAGACTAGACTATAGACTAGACTATAGACTAGACTATAGACTAGACTATAGACTGACTATAGGACTAGGACATAGACTGCTAGACTAGACTATAGACTAGACTATAGACTAGACTATAGACTAGACTATAGACTAGACTATAGACTAGACTATAGACTAGACTATAGACTAGACTATAGACTAGACTATAGACTAGACTATAGACTAGACTATAGCTAGACTATAGACTGACTATAGACTAGACTATAGATAGACTAATAGACTAGACTATAGACTAGACTATAGACTAGACTAAGACTAGACTATAGACTAGACTATAGACTAGACTATGACCTAGACTATAGACTAGACTATAGACTAGACTATAGACTAGACTATAGACTAGACTATAGACTAGACTATAGACTAGACTATAGACTAGACTATAGACTAGACTATAGACTAGACTATAGACTAGACTATAGACTAGACTATAGACTAGACTATAGCAGCTAGACTAGATACGACTGACTATAACTAGACTATACACTAGCTATAGACTAGATATACACTAGACTAAATAGACTAGACTAGACTATAGGACTAGACTATAGACTAGACATAGACTAGACTATAGACTAGACTATAGACTAGACTATAGACTAGACTATAGACTAGACTATAGACTAGACTATAGACTAGACTATAGACTAGACTATAGACTAGACTATAGACTAGACTATAGACTAGACTATAGACTAGACTATAGACTAGACTATAGACTAGACTATAGACTAGACGATAGACTAGACTATAGACTAGACTATAGACTAGACTATAGACTAGACTATAGACTAGACTATAGACTAGACTATAGACTAGACTATAGACTAGACTATAGACTAGACTATAGACTAGACTATAGACTAGACTATAGACGAGACTATAGACTAGAACTAATAGACTAGACTATAGACTAGACTATAGACTAGACTATAGACTATACTATAGACTAGACTATAGACTAGACTATAGACTAGACTATAGACTAGACTATAGACTAGACTATAACTAGACTATAGACTAGACGATAGACTAGACTATAGACTAGACTATAGACTAGACTAACTATAGACTATACTATATACTTGATTATAGACTAGACTATAGATATGCTATAGACTTAACTATGAACTAGACTAGACTATAACGGAGATATCATGATTGTAGATTCAGAAATATAGACTGTGCTATGATAAATCAATTATATATACATATAGTATAAAAATTTGAGGATGTAGCTATAATAGATTTTTTTATTTTTTTTTTTTTTTTTTTGTATGGGATGTGCTACGCCCACCGATATTTTTTTTGTATTTAATTGTTGTTGTCCATTCAAAATTTCAGAATTATCGGTCTAATGGTTACCCTTAAATCCGAAATATTATATTTAATTCATACGGGAGGTGCCACTCCTCCTATTGCTAGTTCGCCCATTTTGTGTAAAAATATTCATGGTGGCACATTATTGGACTACTTCTATGTAATCAGGACAATTAGTATGTCAATATTTAAGTGATTACCAAGTTTTTTCTGGGAATTAATTATAAATCTACATTATTGTGTAAACTATAAACATTTTATATTATTTTATTAACAAATATTTTCTTTATATATTTTCAGGTAAGCATTTTGTTAATAATATCATTTAAATCGTGAGTATAAAAAATAATAATTGTATATTCTATTACCGATTATATACATACATATATGTTCCCACATCTAACAATTTTATATAAATACATACTTACATTCAACAATTGATGTAGAATAGTGATAGTGATCAGTAAAAATTCGGTTCATAATTGACACAAGTATTAAAAAAGGACATTAGAAAGTACAAAATATGTACTATCCTATAACTTTTATTTGCTTCTTAATACCAGAAGGAATAGATACACAGTATAGATTGAATAAAATAAACCAGAATTCTTAACTTAAATAAACTTTTTTATTATAATGTGCACTGAGGTTTCTTTGCCTTATGCTTTTTGGCGTAAAGTATTACATTTTTATTACAGCAGCTACTAGTATTACTTACTTACTTTCATATACTATTACTATTACTTCAATACGACAATTCTTACAATTTAAACTTGAATATTATACATTTACGCGATGATGCATCATTTAATATATCTGTGTCATTTTCAATTATTTCTGCCAGCAACATGCATCCTTTTCCAATATACATTTGTATTTACAACATGAATTATTGTAGCCTTAAGTTATTTTACATATTGAACATTTTTTCCAATTTCTGGTAAAAAAGCAAGCTACAGCTGGGAATATGTTATACATTGTACATCTTCTTCCTTTTCTTTACTTTTGTAAGAAAAAAAAAAAAACATCGTTGGCAACAGTTCCTGATAGTAGTTGCTGCTTAAAAAAGTCATATTATAGAGATTTTCTTTTTTAAATTTATGAGCGCTAAAATAAAACTATGTACAACTTGCTTAGAATGCATAATTTATATTTACGAGCAATAAATGTATTCGTTATTTTCAAACATGTTTAACATGAATTTCTGTTACAATTTCTATTTTTCATGTTTTTTTATCTTTGAATTCAGTTAAATTGTTTCATTCTTTTAAGCTAATATTAAATAATAAAAGTTTAATATTGGAACTAACATCGTGTCAGAACGTGTTATGTTCCGAAACAAAAAAAAATAAAACATTTATGTACATGAAAAATTTGAAATATAGTTATAAATGAATTCTAAATTGATAAATAATTGACACTTACAAGGTTAAACTAAAACATAATACCACCTATAAGTACAAAACAAAAAAATCAAACTAAGCAAAATATTTAAAGTAGAGGAATATATGACAAGATGTTTGAACAAGTTCAGTTCTAGCTCAGTTCTAGTTCAGTTCTAGTTCAGTTCTAGTTCAGTTCTAGTTCAGTTCTAGTTCAGTTTCTAGTTCAGTTTTCTAGTTCAGTTCTAGTTCAGTTCTAGTCAGTTCTAGTTCAGTTCTAGTTCAGTTCTAGTTCAGTTCTAGTTCAGTTCTAGTTCAGTTCTAGTTCAGTTCTAGTTCAGTTCTAGTTCAGTTCTAGTTCAGTTCTAGTTCAGTTTCTAGTTCAGTTCTAGTTCAGTTCTAGTTCAGTTCTAGTTCAGTTCTAGTTCAGTTCTAGTTCAGTTCTAGTTCAGTTCTAGTTCAGTTCTAGTTCAGTTCTAGTTCAGTTCTAGTTCAGTTCTAGTTCAGTTCTAGTTCAGTTTCTAGTTCAGTTCTAGTTCAGTTCTAGTTCAGTTCTAGTTCAGTTCTAGTTCAGTTCTAGTTCAGTTCTAGTTCAGTTCTAGTTCAGTTCGTTCAGTTCTAGTTCAGTTCTAGTTCAGTTCTAGTCAGTTCTAGTTCAGTTCTAGTTCAGTTCTAGTTCAGTTCTAGTTCAGTTCTAGTTCAGTTCTAGTTCAGTTCTAGTTCAGTTCTAGTTCAGTTCTAGTTCAGTTCTAGTTCAGTTCTAGTTCAGTTCTAGTTCAGTTCTAGTTCAGTTCTAGTTCAGTTCTAGTTCAGTTCTAGTTCAGTTCTAGTTCAGTTCTAGTTCAGTTCTAGTTCAGTTCTAGTTCAGTTCTAGTTCAGTTCTAGTTCAGTTCTAGTTCAGTTCTAGTTCAGTTCTAGTTCAGTTCTAGTTCAGTTCTAGTTCAGTTCTAGTTCAGTTCAGTTCTAGTTCAGTTCTAGTTCAGTTCTAGTTCAGTTCTAGTTCAGTTCTAGTTCAGTTCTAGTTCAGTTCTAGTTCAGTTCTAGTTCAGTTCTAGTTCAGTTCTAGTTCAGTTCTAGTTCAGTTCTAGTTCAGTTCTAGTTCAGTCTAGTTCAGTTCTAGTTCAGTTCTAGTTCAGTTCTAGTTCAGTTCTAGTTCAGTTCTAGTTCAGTTCTAGTTCAGTTCTAGTTCAGTTCTAGTTCAGTTCTAGTTCAGTTCTAGTTCAGTTCTAGTTCAGTTCTA